CCCGTTCCGAAAGTGGAACGGCCGTTCTGAGATTATAAAGTACTACGCAAAGGCCAAAAGTGGAACGGCCCGTTCCACATAATCGATTATGTGGCAACCATACATAATCGATTATGTGGCCAATCGATTATGCTCCTTCGTTGAACGTGAATCCTCTGCTGCATGGCACATGCATGGGAGGGGCATTTTCGGATTTTCACAAATCCTACGTGTCTTTCACCTCTTTTCTTCCCTCTCGTGCGAGGAGAGCAACAGTACTTCTCCTCGCTTTTCTTCGCCTTTCCATCGTCGCAAATCGGTGGAAACAAACGCCAACTTTCCTCGTCTTTCGTTGCTCGTAAACAGTAAATCACCCGAAACAAGCACTACGTAAGTGTTCGTTAAGTGATGAGGTTCACGGAGAATCCCGCGGCGGTGCTGCTGGCGGAGCAGGCTAGGGCCTATTTCGTGAAGTTCAACACTGCGTTTCATGAAGCGTGTAAAAAATAGTTGTCGTGGGTCGTATCCGACCCGAAAATCAGACCTTAGGAATTAGAAGAATACCCTTGCCGCCGTCGCTGGTGCAGCTTCTGGCGTCGTTTTGCTCTCCTTTATTTTCGCTTTCTTCCTCATAAAACGCTGGAAGGGTTCCAGCAAAAAAGAAGGCCGTGGAAAATCATCGCTGCCAACCAACCTCTGCCGCCACTTCTCGATCGCGGAAATCAAAGCCGCCACCAACAACTTCAACGAGCTCTTCGTGGTCGGCGTGGGAGGCTTCGGTAACGTGTACAAAGGCTACATCGAAGACGGTGCGACACGTCACGTGTCGCAATCAAGAAGCTCAAACTGGGTTCTCAGCAAGGTGCGCGCGAGTTCATGAACGAGATCGAAATGCTGTCTCAACTTCGTCATCTCCATCTGGTTTCCCTCATCGGTTACTGTTACGAGAGCAACGAGATGATACTCGTCTACGATTTCATGGGTCGCGGAACCCTCGGTGACCATCTCTAAAACACCGATAACCCTTCTCTATCGTGGAAGCAAAGGCTTCAGATCTGCATAGGCGCTCCAAGAGGACTGCATTATTTACACGTGACCGTTTTTCAGATGACGTGACAGACACTGTTAGATGTTGATGTAACCATCCGTCAGTCATGTCATCACTTAATAAAAAAAGACTTACTTAATATATTAAATTAAAAAAAAATTAATTAAATAATTAAAATAATTATTTTTAATAAGTAATAATCTAAAACTTGACATATTTAAAAATAATTTAAATATATTTAAGTCATAAATAAATATTAAATTACTGTTTACTTATCTACAGTGGAGAATATGCTAAACTTGTACACAGTAGCAAGCACCATTTTTAAAATCCTATTTGAACTGTAATGACTAGGAGATGAGGTGACCTAACTAATAACTGAAAGTTCAGATTGGCTGGGTGGTGTGGAACATCCTAAGTTTTTTAAATGTAATTCATAAGAATATATTCATGCTTGTGTTTCGGATGGTGAAATAAATGAAGCAAGTAGGGTGGTTTCATAAGAATATATTCACTTTACTGTTAAAAAATAATAAGGGGGTATTTGAGAATGGCATATACCTTTCTTGCTTAGTAATACGTCCATGTGTATATTAGTATATTACCAGTGGTTGGAAGAATTTATGTCTATTTTCCCTTTTGGCAAGAATTTTTTGTGAATTGATACAAAATGACATAATTAGAGGTCGATATAGCTTCATTGACTTGTAAAACTGAAATATAAGGTGGAGGATCTAATGATTTGTGTCGAATTTGAGAATATATTTAAGTTTAAACTTTATTATCCATAATATATCCTTAATTCCTTCTCTTAACTTTTAATGTTTATACATTCCCTCATTTCCAGAGGATATTAAGAACAATAGAACCTCACACTTCACATGTTTCAGCAACACCACTCTAAGGTTTTTGTTGGCATGATCACTTTGACCAATCTCTTATTTTCCCTGTAGTTCCACTTTCTGATTTATCCGTTGAAAATCAAGGCTCAGAACATTCCATGTCTTTACTTAGGGAAGCAATTAAAGATTTCAGGTATTTTTAAGATTTTGTTTTTAAAATGACTTCCTGTTATTACAATATACGTGAGCATATTAATAATCGTTGCTATTTGCTTCTTAGAGTTTTTGCAGCAACATGGAATGTTGGAGGGCAATGCCCCACTGAGAACCTTGATTTGAGTGATTTTCTTCGGTTTCCATATGAACAAGATATGTATGTTTTGGGGTATGTCTCTCTCTCTCTCATGCTTTTGATTTTTATCCATGAATAAGATTTCAGTTAAGAATATGCCCCTTCTTTTAAGGGAGTTAACTTACTACCCTTCCTTTCCTCAATTTGTCAAAGATAAGGCCATTCATCATTTTGGATTTTAATTTTTGACCTTTCTTCTGACTTGTCATGAAATAAATCAATTTGCAATATTTTAGCATATCCCAATATAGTTTGGTGCATGTGGTGTTGTCTGCTTGAACAAAAAAACACTGAATAATTGGAAGTGCTTTGTTAGGCAGGAAAATTAAGTAGTCTAATTGCAGACTTCTGCTTTTATACAGGCCTGTTTGTTGTGCTCAAAGGAAAAAAAAAAGTGATTATATAAGATTGTAAAAAACTAATAATATTATCTTAAGAGATTTTTTAATAAGCTATTATTCATCTAGTTTTTCAAGAGAATCTAAAAGATTATATAAGGATGTTAACACTTCTCAACAGTGTTTTTTCTAGCATAAAGAAAGTGATTTTTTTGTGCAGAAAAATTCTTGAACAAACACTCTAATTAATTTTCTCCAATTTTTCAGATTTCAGGAGATTGTCCATATAAATGCTGGAAATGCGCTCATATCAGAGGAAAACGAGCCTGCTGCAAAATGGCTTGCTTTAATCAACCAATCACTCAATGGTCCTTCAGTTTTGGCTTCTAAAGGACTAAAACCGACAACATGTTTGTTCTTCCAAAATCCTTCTCTGAAGAAGCTTGAGGAATGCTTCAAGAATGTAAATGGACAGAGGCTAAAAAGTTGTAACTGTGTCCTTGAAAAGGAAAGGAATGCTGCCAAGTATTTCTGTTTTCGCGGTCAAAAAACAAACTTAAACTCAGATGACTCTTCTTCCACTGAAGAGGAGGATGAGAATTTCTCAATTTATGTTGCTTTGTCTAGTTCTACGATGAAATACAGTCTTGTTGCAAGTAGGCAAATGGTTGGAATTTATGTATGTGTATGGATGAGGAAGGAACTTGTTCGGCATGTAGGCCATTTGAGAATATGTTGCACTAGCCGCGGGATCATGGGTCAACTTGGTAATAAGGTAGTCTTAAGAAATTTTATCTTATTTTATTTAGGATTTGTTTGGGCAAACTTGTGCAGACACACTGACTGCAGAAAAAAATAATAAAAAATGAAATAAATTTGTAAAAATCCTTTTTCTTTATAAGCATTTTTAAAATCTTATTTTTAATTTTTGTAAAGGCTAATTTTAACTTATAAAAAAGTTTATTTTGATTTTATTTTTACTTTTCTCTTCTAAAAGTGTTTCTAACCTTAATGAAAATTCATACCAAGTATAAATAAATAGGTAACAAACTTTTAACGTAAAAGTTTTTTGTTACTAAATACATTACCATGATTGTTATGTGACTGCAGGGGTGTATATCAGTGAGCATGTCATTTTATCAGACAACTTTTTGCTTCATCTGCAGTAATTTGGCATCTGGAGAGAAAGAGGGCGACGAGCTTCGCAGGAATCTTGATGTCATAAAGATTCTAAATAACACTCAGTTTCCAAGGATTTGCAAGACACCATATAGTAGGATGCCTGACAAAATTTTAGAGCATGAGTGAGCATCTTTTGAAGCTATTTGTAGTGTTTTAGTTCAAAGATTTCTCAATTGCTTAATAACATTGAGTAAGTTTGATAACAATGGTCCGAAAAAATTCTGATTATGTGACAAATGTTTTCTCCAGACGAATCATATGGTTTGGGGACTTGAATTACAGAATCTCTTTGAGCTATAATGATGTAAAAAGGCTTATGGAAAAGCTTGACTGGGCTTCTCTTTTGAAGAAGGATCAGGTAGTTTCCTTTGCTAAGAATGTTGTGTTGATTTGAATATCATACATGTTGCCATTTGTTATTTGGAAACTCATCCATGCCATTTTAACATCATCCTAGTTTTCTTATTTAGGTGTTAAATTTCATGGTTTTTATTAAAACCAAAAAAGCTGTGGACCACGAAATGGAAGATATTCATATTAATATGCTCATAATCTTGATTCTTCATCTAATTTTGTGGAGCCTCTACTGAAGTTTCTGATTATGCATTGTATATTTTCTTCTTTTCATAGCTTAAAATGGAAAGGGAGGCAGGTCGTGTATTTAAGGGGTGGAAAGAGGGAAAGATCTACTTTCCACCTACTTATAAATATGCCTTCAACTCAGGCATTTACTATGATGAAGGTGTAGAAGTTTCAAAGAACAAAAGGACAACTCCAGCATGGTATGTGTCAGTTTAAGATATTTTTTTCGAGTAAATATTCAATTTGGTTTGTATTACTTTGGTTCCTAAATTTTCCATCTAAATTCAAATTGTTCTTTGAAAATTTCAACTTGCTAACAAGATCACCCTACCAAAATTGTTAACTAGTAAGTAATAAGTTTCACTTTTTTCCTGGGAGACCAATTTGTATAAACAGAAATTTTTGCAAACAAAACAATATCCATATAATCTTTTGGAGACCAAATTGTACTTTAAAATTCTTTATTGTAAAGCTGAATGATGAAGGGTATTGTAGGTGCGACAGAATCTTGTGGCATGGAAGGGGAATTAGGCAACTTTGTTACTTCCGAAAAGAATTTAAGCTTTCTGACCATCGACCAGTTTGTGCAACATTTATAGTAGAAGCTGAGGTTATGCACAGGGGACAAAAGGAGAAAGTTTCAACTTGCATCTTTCAGAATATTGATGATCTTGCAGGCTGATCGACCAATTTGGAACTATTTGCCAGACTTTTTATCAAATTGAGGTTGTTTTTGAAACAATTTTTGAATTCGAAGTGGTTAACAAAAGGTATCACCATGGTTTTAAATTGCGGTTGCGGTCGCGGTTGCGGTCGCGGTTGCAGTTACTGCGGTTGCGGGTATTGCGAGTATTGCGATTGTCCCTCTCACACAACAATCCTTTAAAATGCTTATATTTTTTAATACCAATAGATTATTTTTGAGTTGTAAAAAATCTCAAATGAATACCAATGGATTTTAATGGACTCTTAAAAAATCCCTGAAAATCCAGATTGAATACCACTGGATTATTTTTAAGTGACATAAAATCCTGATTGAATACCAATGGATTTTTTTACTCAAAAAAAGTATTTTAAAATCCTACGAAACCAATACACCCTCCTAAGTCAACGTGGTAAAGTATAAGTGGGTGTAATAAATTTCACGGGTAATTAATGACATAAAAATTAATTACATAAATTAAATTCTAAAGAAAGCCATAAATATCCTCTTCTTCTTATCTCTTTATAAAAAGAAAACGCTATTTGTAACTCACTCGCACTCTCTTTCTCTCTCTCTCAGATTTCTCTCTCTTCATTGACCTCTTTTTTCTCCTCTACCTGGGTTGTGAAAGCTCAAAGTTGTTTTTTCATTCTTAGTCTATTTTGCTTTCTCCTTTTGTTTTATATATCATTTTAGTTATTTTGAATAAATTGTTTTCTTATTCCTTTTTTTTTGTTCGGTCATTTTGACTTGCCATGAAGCCAAGGTGTGTGTTTAATTTTCATGTTCATCTCTTATAATAATATTTTGATTTTAACAATTTTGTCATGTCACAAAGTGTGTGAACTATTGATCGGGAGAAATTGACCTAATGCACAATGACATCGATGGTGCTCAAGGCGATGAATGGCGACAACATCATCAACATGGAAGCAAAAGATACAATGACGGAAATGGATATGGTGAATCGAAGGGTATGAAAAGCTCTTTCTACAAGTGATCCCAATGAGCATGAGAGGTTTTATAGGCTGATGTATAACAGAAAGAAGAAGAGAGGCACAATGCCTATAAATGATAATAACAAGAATTGATGTATGTTCATTGTGGTTATGAAGCACTCTTGTGATATGGATGTTGACTACTAATGCTTCTTGTTTGTGGTGTTGAATTACATCATAATGTTAAATTTCACGGTTAATGAGATTGTTGAGTTCCTTCTAATGGAACCTTTTCATTCCATATACGCGTCATAGAGGATCTACTAGGTATAAGTAAAAAAAAAATGGTTTAATTTCCTATTTTTTTTACCTACACCAAGTATATTCCTTGTGATGCATATGTGGAACAAAAAGGTCCATTAGAAGGGACTCAGTGAGCTCCTTAAGCGTGAACTTTAACTTTGTGATGTAATTCAACGCCATAAACAAGAACCACATGTAGTCACTATCTATGTTGCAAGAGTGCTTCATAACAACAAAGAATACTCACTAATTCATGTTATTATTGTTCGTGGGTGTTGCACCTCTCTTCTTCTTTCTGTTATACACAAACCTATAGAATCTTTCACAATCGCTAGGATCACTAGTAATTCACCATATCATCTTTTGTCATCGCGTCTCTCACTTCCTTGTTAATGGTGTCACCACCTTGAGCACCTTCGATGTCATTATGTGTTAGGTCAATTTCTCCCAATTGATAGTTCACACACTCTATGATGTGACAAAATTATTAAAATCCAAAATTTATTATAAAGAAAATGAATGGGAAAATTAAACATACACACACCTTGATTTGATTACGACTCAAAATGACTAGACACAAAAAAGGAATAAGACAATTCATTCAAAATGATTGAAATGAAATTAGAGAGAGATAACGACACATAATTATGAGAAAACAACATTGAGCTTGGAGATACATGGATTGCATAAGATTTTGCAAGTTGGAGTTCAAGGTGGTGGACCCCTCAACTACCATAATCCTTAGAGTTCTCATATGAGTTGGGTTAAATGCCTAGAAGGATGTGTTAAGCTCAATTATGATGGGGCTGTGTTATCGGATCAAATTAAAATCTATGGAGGAATTCTTCGTGGTCCTTGATTGGTGTTTCAAGTTGAGTTATGGGTCATTTATCATGGCTTAAAACTCATTAGAGATAAAGGCGTTCAGGGAAAGATTTTAGTGGAGTTGGATTTAACTCTTGTTGTTAAATACATTAACGAAGGTTGTCTCTAAAATCATCTATGCTACAACCTTGTGAATCTTATGGTCCAAATGGCAGGAGACAATCATAACCATGATTATGCTTATGCCCTTAAGAAAGCTAATCAAGTGGCAAATTGTTTTGTCAATAGAGGTCTTACTTTATTAGAGGAGATACATATGTGTTTGATACTCTCCTAGTTTGGATTTACTTTCCTTTGCTTATAAACTTTCTTATTGTAGCTTTCTTTTATGGGTTTTAAATTTGGGTTGCTAGCCCCCTTTGAAATTAAAATAAATAAATAAACAAATAGAGTCATACTATTAACAAATAGCAATTAAGCGCGTTTTTTTTTTATTCTATACCATATGTTTTAATCTATAACCGTTTTTTTTTATCATTTTATTCTATACCATATGTTTTAATCTATAAGAACGGACTTCGAATCCTGTCTTGTGTATGCAGTTGCATTAAATCTTGGAGCCAACTATCCCACCCTTTGAGATGCCTCCAACGTAGCGAGAAAATTAGTCACTGCTATCAGCGGTGGATACTCCAAGGACGAACTTAAAAAAAAATCTATAAGAACGGACTATTAAATTTATCGACTAAATTATATTGGTAGTCTTTTTATTTATTTTGAGGATTCAACTTAGTCTCACTATTTCACTTATCTAATTTTAAAAAAAATAGTTATGTCATTTCATCTGAAAATTCACACTAACAAAGGTAATGAATTTGGATGAAAAGATAACAAGAAACATTTTTTTAAAAAAATTAGATGATCAAATTGAACCATTTAAAAATAACAAAATTAGATAAAACCGACCATCACATCAATTCTCAATCAAACTAATTAAAGTTAGTGGACCAATCATCACATCAGTTCTCGATTAGGCTAATTGAATTAAATAGTCCAATCCAAATTTTGAAACAATAATCAAAATTGAATAGGATTCATGAAAAAAAATAATTGCCTTAACAGGATCTTGAAAGACAATGAATTGAGTTATTGGAAAATTAATCACAAAATGGAAGAGTTATCTACTAAAAGAAAGACTTAATGTGTTTTTGGTCCATTAAGTAAAGTAATTGTGCGATTTCAGTCCCTTAAATTTTAATTGAGCAATTTTACTTTTATATTATAATTGTATAATTTTAGTCCCTAAAATATCACAATTGTGGTATTTTAGTCACTCAAGTATCTTAATTATACAAATTTTTACATATTTAAGTTAAATATATTAGTGATTTTAGTAATAATAAATATATGTATCATTTAATACATGAATGAATAAAAATTATAATATATGTAACTTAAATAGGTCAAAATTGAATAGTTGCAATATTTAAGGGATTAAAATCGTACAGTTATGATACTTAAAAATTACTCAATTAAAATTTACGAGACCAAAATTGTACAATTATGATACAAGAGTGATCAAAAACACAATTAAGCCTAAAAGAAAATATAAATAGGTGAAAAAAATCAAATCGATCTAGACAAAAAAATATTAGATAAATTATTATTCAATTTAGTCCCTCTATTTTTGGAATGTCCAATTTGATCCAATTATTTGTAAAATGTTCAATTTGGTCTTTAATTTTCAAAAGATATTCAATATTAATATTTTATCAAATTAAATTAACATCATTAGTGTCAACTAATATTTTAGCATGTGTAATGATAATATAATGAATTGGATGAGCCTTTTATACGCAGCAACTAGATGAGCCTTTTATAAGCAGTGAGTTACTTTCAAATTTTAACTCATTGCAAATTCTTTGATGGTTAATTTTTTTTTTCAAGTAATATTTGAATTCAAATACCTATACTCTTTCATCTTCGTCGATTTTTGGTCTAAGGAAACAGAGATCTCACAACAGAAGATGGAATATCAATTTGGCCGTTTAGGATTCATGTTACACATGTTGAATGAATCTTCTGTCTATGAGTACCTATCACACTACAACAAAAAGCATCATTAGCGACTATTATTTAGTGGCAATAAGATAATTGCCTGCATATTATTATTAGCTAAGATTTTTAGTGACCAATAAAAATTAGCCACTAAAACTTTAATTACAGTGACAATTTTTTAAAATTACCGTTAATATTAATTTTTATTTAAACTTTTTTTAAAAAAATTCCTCACAGTGCATAAGGCATCACACTAAAACTTTTACCTCACTTCTCACCGTCATCTCACTCTCACTCTCGCTTCTCACTCTCACTAATGGCTTCTTCGGCTGGGTCAACTCATTCTCCTTTTGGATCTTCATATAGTAATTTCAATTTTAGGGTTTGTTTTGCACGATTCAATTTAATCCTTTTGTCTCTTTTCCGCCGTCAATAACTCCTCCGCCGTGTCCTCATTGCCGCTGAATATCAAGGTTAGTTAGGTCTCACTATCATTCTCAATTTCAATCTTCAATTTCAGAATTTCTCACGTTTAAGCCATTTTGACTTTTATTTATTCATGAATTATTTGTTTTGTTTGTTTCTGTTATGTCCTTGACCTGTAATTCGTAAAATATCCTTTCTCCTCTGAACCAATACCTCACTATTATCGACTCTGATTCACAATCCATTTTTAATTTTTTTGGGATTTCTAACTACTTGTAAGTTGTAACAGGGAGGGTTAACCAATTTATACATCCCTTCGTCACTAATAGATTAGTGGCACTGTCTTTCGATTTTTTAATACATTTATCTGAATGTCACCATTGTGTATTTGTTTCAAATCACATGGATTTGTTGTTGCTCATTATTCAATAATGATCTGACTGAGATGGAAGGTGTGATTACCTTTGCACCTGGGAAAGTTTAGTCAGAATGAGATTTATTTTGAATTATAATTAGTTTATTTTTAATTTTCATTG